ATAATAGACTATCTGCACGTGGCGATTACATTGCTAAAATACTTACTGAAGTTTCCGTCTTGTTAACCCAAAATACTACAGGTTACCAAAATATTCTTGATATCGTTTCACCGTGGCAACCTACAATTGGCCGGATGATACTTTGGAAGGCCAAAAAGAACTTTAGGTCAACAGAAGAAATTAAGAGAACCGATACTTTGGTCCCTTCTAAAGCAGAAAAGGCAAACTGCAATGCAAATCACCTTAACGAAGTATTCAAACTCAATGCAGCAGTGAATAATTTTACGATTCCAGTATAATGGATTAGCATATCACATTCACTCTAAAGAATTCAAAGACATAAACTTATTCAATACTGGAAATCACAAAGATTGTGACTGACCAGGATATATACCTATGCAGGGATAATAAAATTCCAAAGAAATCTGACACTAAACCAATATGGCACTCTGCCTCTGCAATAAGTATCTATAAAATTCAGCGATTCCAATCGAAAACGCTACGAACCTCACAGGTGCTCCATGGTATATGCGTAATGAAAATATACATACAGACATCTTGTCGATATAGAAAAATCATACGAATTCTTTTGCGAATGTTTTGTGCTGCCCAACAAGCGGTACACGCTTTCAAAGTGGAGATCTGCAATCCTTTTGAAGAGCAGAGTTTTACCTGACGTCCATTGCTATTAATGTACCAAAGTAAACCTATTATAGGGTTAAAATTAAGGGGTAAGGCCACTATAGGTGCTTAACAAAATTATTGTTTTAAACATATTTTTAAACCTCGTGTCTGATATCAATTTCATTAAAATTACGAGCTCTTTAACTGAGCGCACTGGGCCGCCCCGTTATATATTTTGTATATCTCAAAATTTTAATTGAATTTTTATCGAATAATTTTTTTGAAATTGCCTCGCTGCATAACTCAAAAATAATCAATATTTTAAATTTTTTTTTCTCTTAATTTTTTAATATTATTTCATAGACAAAGGGAAGATTTCCGAAAACCTAATCTGAACAAGAGTTTTCTTCCCCCTTTTCTTTGGTCGAAAAATTAGTTTTTTCTCAAATGCTTCTATTGTAAATTTCACACAAAACCAATATATTTCAAAATACGTATGTCATTCTCTAGCTATTCTCATATACTAGATACAAAAAAAATTTTATTTTGTTGTAGGATCAAATTTGCACTCTGTGTGCTGCAATCCGCGGAGCTCCTAGAAAAAAAATCACTTTACAAAAATGTTCATCGTTTCGCCATTTTAAAATATTTTTGGTTGTAAATTACATTTTTTTTCTACTTAAATTTGAAATTAATAAGATTTGAAAACATTTTAACTGTATTGCCTTTCTTTCCACATAAGAAAAATTCTTGGAAAAATGTCATTTTTTGTCGTTTTCAGTGGGGTTACCCTTTAAGCAGTTTCTATTTATTATATTTTTTTTTATATTTTTTTATATAAAAAACTACAGCATATGATGGCGTGTTCGTGGAAAATATTATTAATCCCGTTACTAGAGAACTTTTATGCAAATAACGAACAGGCACGAATTCATCCTTTTATCACGGCTATGTATTTAACTAGAATTTTTCATCACTGGCTTATCCTTTCACTGCAGGAATACTCTATGTGTACGCTTTACATACATTTGCATGTGTATATGAGCAAATGTAATTTTCATGCATATTTATAAGCAGAAAAATGTGCTTCAGCATATGAAGTGATGGTATTCATTGACATCGCCGTGTGCTACAAACATTGTAAATGTATACTCGTACATGTATGTATATGCGTGCTTCAACTATTTTTATATATATAAACTTTTAGCAGATTTACACCATTAAATTCTCTACTACTATTTATGCATTTATTGTTCATATTGGCAAAAACCCTACAGGAAGCGGAAATGGTGGATTATACCATGAATATAAGACCACAATAGCCGAGTGGCCAGCATGGTGTACTAACATTCAGAAGGCCAGTACGGGAATTCTTTATCGTATTAATACGATTTTCGCATCGCAAAGAAGACTTAGCGATAATTCTAAAGATTTTAATATTCGGTGTACTTATTTTAACGATATTCGCGATTTAGCGATATCGACAAAATATTGTTTTTCATTAAGGGGCACACCCAGTGTAATGGCCTAAAAAAGGAGATTTTTGGCAATTTTTATTATAAAAATACTTTATCAATTATTTCAAAATTTTATGAATATATATATGCATGTGTCAAGAATATAAAGTGAAATTTTTGAAGAAAAAAATTAAATATTTTTTAAGTTATAGTCGATCTCCAACGGCGCGAAAAAAGGTCCTTCACTGATGCAGTGCTTCCGGCCTTTTCCGTGGATGAAATCTAAAAAAAATTCTCTACCAGATAATATTGTTTGAACAATGACCTACGATAAAAAAAAAATCAAAAATTGACAATATTTACCCGAAATCCGATCAAAAATCGATAGGTCATGGTACGGAGAACTATATATAGAACTTGTAAAAGAATTCGATAGTGATCGGATCTTTTGTTTTTGAGTAATCACTGCAGTAAATTCGGAATGCCGAGCGGCTGCTCTTTAAATTGCTATAACTCAAAAACTATTTAAGATATCGATTTGAAATTTCAATATGTTATTTTCAAAGGTGTAATCTACCGAAATATGAAAGAACAGATCAATTTTTTTTTTTTGAAATTTCACAAAATTATAAGCAAAAATGGCTTTTGAGGATTTGGCATACGTTTTATCCCAAGATGAGGTGTTATTGTACCCTTCATCATAGGGTAGAAGTTTGTTTCAGGAAGTTGAAGATTGTTTCCAGTTGAATTCAACTGGATTTTTGGTAGCCAACTAAAAGGCAGAAAATAACAGTATTATCTACTGAGAAACATATAATAATATAACCTTTTGTGCACTAATAAAATGTTTGAAGGTTCTAACCTAACGCTTTGCGATTCTTTGCAACTGGCTGCTACCAACGTCCCATCAAAGAGCAATCGGTAATAGCTATGAGTCAGTCGTCAGTAAGCCATTCTATTCATCGCAGAAGCAGTAAACCGTTCAAGACTTCCTGGGGCGACTGATGACACTCATGTGTCCATCATGAGTCCCAGAAATCATGGAGCAGCTTATGTCAACCTTCATGGATACCAAGATGCGAATGGCGAGAGTCAATTTTTTCCAATTACTTTTGTAGTAACACAGTTCATTATATTTGTACACAGATATGTGATCCTTATCTCAAGATTTTGGCTTTGATTTAATAAATGTTGTTATTATTGCTATTTATTTAATAAAAATAATTGCTATAAATATAGTAAATTTGTTTTTGTCATTCCTCTTTGTGCTTTTCGCATATTTTGAGGTTTTTCAAAGCTGTGATGCCACCTTTCCTTCATTTTAATAAAAAGAAAGTGTGCGTTGTCGATGATCATAAAAACTGAGTTAGAGATTCGCATAATCGTTAGCGCAAGCGACAAAATTCGGTACTTTGCGACCCGACAAATCGTGTCGATAAAAGTAATAGAATTGTACTACAGGGTTCGTGTTCTGGTTGACAACCTTCAAAAATTATTGAAAATGAATTTTTCTAACTGTCGTCGTCCTTGGTATGTCAAGCACTCCGACGGTATTTCTGATATTTAAATTAAAGCTCTTCATAATCTATCGGCTGTTCGGAGGCGACTTAAAATAAACCGTACGTCCCCCGTTTGTTTGTAAAATAGCAAGATGCTCAGCATTAATTGAAAAGTGGTTACAAAACGCCAAATTCAAAGTTATATAACTTAAGTCAAATATGCTCCGTTTTGTTTGTAAACTTGTTGCCAACAAGATGCCAACTTCATTATACCCCTCTCGTAGAAGGCTGCGTTCCTATTCGAAAAGAACTCGGAGAGCCAATTTTCACAGACCTCTCTTGAGGCCAACTTCTCACCATTAAGCGCGTTCGTCATGGTCAAGAAAAGATGGTAATCACTTGGTGCCAGGTCCGGACTATAAGGTGAGTGCATTAGGACCTCCCATCCAAGCTCCTGGAGCTTCTGGCGCGTCACTAAAAACGTGTGTGGCCTGTCGTTGTTCTGATGGAACACAATTCGGCCTCTGTTGATCAAAGATGGCTTCTTCTGGATGAGTGCTGCCTTTAAGTGGTCTATTTGTTGGTAGTAGAGGGCCGAATTGAGCGTTTGGCCATAGGAGAGCAGCTCGTAGTAGATGATTCCTTGCCAATCCCACCAAACACACAGAAAAACCTTCCTGATCGTCAATCCGGTCATGCCGACGTCTGGGCCGCTTCCCCGAGCTTAGACCATGACCTTTTGCGCTCGATGTTGTCGTAAATGACCCATTTTTCAGAAACGGGTCGATTTTGTTGCGATTCAGCAGCGATTCGCAGATGGAAATTCGGTCCATCATGTTTTTTTGCGTTAGTTCGTGTGGCACCCAAGCATCTAGCTTCTTTTTGAATCCAAGGTTATGCAAATGGTTCCAAACGGTTTTCTGGATTATCTTTAGTTCCTCAGCAGTTACATAAGTGCTCACGTGACCTCATCTGCTTCCAGTATTTTCATGATTTTATCACAATTTTCGAAGAGAGTCCTCCCGACGCCTCTTTGACATCGAAATTACCTGAACGGAACCTAGCAAACCACTTTTGGGCTATATAAGTACTGGGGGGGTGCCGTAGCTCAGCCGGTTGATGTCCTCTTAAGAATAAAGGCTGGATTCACCGACGTCCAAGTGCAATGAAATAGTGTATTAATTAAAACTTTTCATTATTCTTTATCTACTGCTTTCTTTATAACAGGTGTTATGGTATTATAATATGCAAAAATAAATATTTTTAAAGCATAAGAAGTATTGCATCTTAACAAGCTTCTTTCAATCAAAAGCATTCTCAGGAACTATCAGTCATCTATGATACTTATGCATATAAAGAAATATTTAATATATCTTAACTCAATGTATTTTTAATAATATTTCAATTCTTTTAATTACAGGAAAGTCCACATACATATAACTATATAAAACACCTTTCAACTGCAAACACTCACTCTTGTACGTACATATGTATTTTATATGTAGCTATGTAATTTAACATCAGAAAAATAATTAATATATTTGTAAATAGTGATTTCAAAAGCAAAGTACCCGTGCAATGTGAGGAATTACATAAATGTTTCACTTCTTTTTTTTAAACTACACTTGCAACCAACTGCCTTCTCAAGTGAGTTCAAACAAACAAAATAAAAGTTATATTGAATTTGGTAGATATCCAAATGTATATGTGTATAATGTTCAATCATGATTTATACATCCTACACTAAAGACTTTCAGAAAATCTGATGGCTCACTATTGTCGGTAACAAGAAAAAGAAATAAGCCTATGCTACCCTACTGCGGCATTGTTTTTAACATTAATTTTCAAGCGTTTAAGTAGAGCGAAGTGTGGTTTTAGGCGTAATATTTCTTACAATACTGAGCCAATGAATTTTTGGCGTCAGCAGAGTTACAAGGTACCTAACCAATTATTTATTAGAAAAATAAAATATACATAAAAATTCATAAATTTTGTTCCAACAATTTTCCAAGCCAATTTTTTTCTCTCTAACCAAATAACGGGTATGTTAAGAATTTTCAAAGGTTTCTTCATAACTAAACGCAGAGAGCACAAAAAATATAAAAAACAAAGAAATAAAATATAGCAATTTTGATTGAATTTCAACTAAATCTACGTCTAAGCAACCAAAAAAAAAAAAAAATTAGCCAAATTTTAAGCAAATGTTTTGATGTATGTAAATATACATGTAGCTAAATTGTAAACTTTTTCCAAACGCAAAAACATTAAACTTAAAGCAAATATTCTAATTGGAGCTGATCTATGAAGAAGAAAACAAGAAGTGGAAAATAAAAAATAAGAAGAAGAAAATAAAATGAAGAAGAAAGTGAAATTACTACTGTTTATAAGTACACAAAAAAATATACTGAATATTCGTACAATAAAAAGAAACAGAATAATTGGGAAACAACTCTCCAAGTAATACTGACATTTAGCACAGTAGCAATAAAAATGCAACACTGTTATTTAAAAAATAAAAGTAAATGAATAAGTAAATAAATTTGAGTAAAATCTAAGATATACATATGTATTGTATAAGCGCATCAAACTAATGCTATTTCAACAATAAATCTCAAAAACATATATGTATACAATAAATAAAATCTTCTGTTATGCGCATAATAAGCAAATATGTACTTGAAACTAGCAAAAGGAAAACACAAAACAAACAAATAAACATAAAACAAACTAAACTGCACAAGCTCATAACAAAAAAAAAATGAGGACTCAATATTAAGTGAGGAGGAAAACATATACAGAAACACATTTCATATAATTGTGTAAACAAATATTATGGAAAAGTTGATTTTTTAGGAGCTTTCTTATTTCTTAAAAACAAAATACATATGAAATATTAAAAATTTATTGAATTTTTATTTGAGTCAATAGCACGATCAATATAATTAAATGCTTAAAGATTATTATTATCTCTTATTCTTACCACATTATAAAGCCAAGTCCCTCAGGAGGCTCAGATCTAATATGATTTATGCTGCAACTACCCAACGCGCGTAACAGCCGTCCATAGTAACCTATCTTATGAGAGCGCCATGTAAACACAAAGTTGTCACCGCTTGCCCATACCGTTAGTGACGGTTGTTCCGCGAAACCAACGAAGATTTGCTTTTTCCGTAAACCCGGCTCGGCTCATTTTTCGTTGCTATACAAGGTTGCCAGTATAGCCTTTCTTAAAGTAACATTAAACAATCGAAAATAATGCGTAGTTTTGTTCAAAAGAAATGAAAAATAAATGCGTAACTAATTATTTGTTACCAAATAGATCATGTATATTTGCCTTGTGTTTATGTTCAAGCAAATAAGTTATGAAATTTATTGACGAAAATTATGAATTTGTTCAAAAGTGTGCAAACACACAGGCAGCTGGCAACATTTCGCCGCTCTCAGCAGCGTCGATAACTCGTGTGTGTATCTCGCCTTTTCGTCGCCACTTATGGATGGCTGGTAAGTAGTTGCAGCCTTAGCTGCGGCTGTAATGCTGCAACTACCCATCTTACATACCATCCGTAACAGCAACATAACCCCAGATCTCCAGAAGCAATCAAGGATTGCTTATCAACTGTCATTTTGACAGATATTTTCAAGCATTGATGCAACCAAGCAGGGCAATGGATGTCAAGCAATAAGCTCTCACACGGAAAAATCATTTTGTATGTATGTTAGCACAGAGGTGGTTGGCTATGGAGACAGGGCTTTACATTAAGATGTGTTATTGGATATTCAAAGAAAAATGGTATTTTTTAGATAAATGATCGGATGTTTATTGCAGCATAAAGAGGAAGATATACCATTAATAATGGAAAACAATATCGAACAAATGATCGCCATGGCTACACATACAGGATACGCCTTTTTATGAAATTTTCCATTACCAAATCGCGTAGTGGCCGCTGTGTGCCTTAATATCTTCACGAAATCCATCTTTGAGGTCTTGAACCGACGTTGGCCTGTTGGCGTAGACCTTCTATTTTACGTGGCCCCGAAGGTATATGTCATAAGGTGTTAAATTATAAGATGTTGTTGTTGTTGTAGCGGCTACCTTAACCCCGTTTAGGGACAGGAAACATGCTGTTTCGACGGCATTGGACCAGAGGGAGAGAGGGGTTGTATGTGTGAGCTTAAGGGGGCATATGAAAAGGTGGTTAAGATCGTGTGGAGACTCTCCACATGCTGGACATAAGTTGGGTATGCTGTGGTCGAGTCTGGATAGGTAGGAGCTTAATCTGCTACAATATCCAGACCTGTACCAGTGTCTCGCTGGTCTCTCGAGGCAGCCCGAGCTTGTTGTTGGTGCAATTGGTGGTGGTTTATCTTCATGCCATTCACGGGATGGGAGTCTTTGAAGGTATTGACTCACTCCTGGTTCATCTCAGTAGTCAATTGTGACCACCTCTCTCTTCGAGTGATAGCACGGTTCGGAAACTTTTCCCTTAAAAGGTCGATGGTTTCTTTACTTATGTGGCACGAAGTTACGTCTTGTTGAAAATAAGTGTTGTCCAGTGGTCCAATAACCCCACCGGACCATAATTAGAACCAAACAGTTACATGTTGGGTATGGCGACAATAAATCTTGGGTTTTCCGAGCCTCAGTAGCAACAGTTTTGCCTATTGACGTAGCAGTATACTGTATGGAAACTTGTTAATATTCCTAGGTTATTTTTGCTAAGTTAAATAAATTCTTTGAAACTATTAGCTTAATAGTCATGCATTAGTTAAGTTTATAAGTCAGTACATTTCTCTAATTGCATTTTCTTCCATTCTTAGCTCTACTTTTAATGTGCGCGATCTTATAGAAAGGAAAGGCTTTGGGCCCATAGGGAAGAGTTGCTGCTGATTCCCTAGTAAGTTCGACAACTATTACATTGTCTTCAATTCCCTAATGAGCAGAACTTGATTCTGTTTTTCCATCTCATTTAGTTTCCTCATACATTCCTAAACCATGAGCGATCGTACACAAGGATTGACTCCATCCACCATAGCGCTCCGCTGAAGTCAAATTCATAGTTGTTGGCTCTTGCCTTTTCATCTCTGTTAGTTGCGCATGCTGGATAGCACGTGGTATCTTTTTATTGAAACCTTATACCCCGTCAAGGCCACCTTGTCCATTTGGAGCTAAAATTTTATTTACTAAAATAAAAAAAAATTAAATAATTTTAAACATTTCAATATATTTTGCTCTAGGTTACCTTAGAATACTTACTTACTTTACTGGCGTAGACACCGCTTACCCGTTTAACAAGATTGTGCCATTCGTTTCTTCTTTTTACTATTGGAAACACCAAATATAGCTAGGTCCTTCTCAATCTGGTGTTTCCAACGGAGTTGAGGTCTTCTTTTTTCTCTGCTTCCACCGACGGTACTACATCGAAAATTTTCAAAGCTGGAGTATTCGCATCCATCTGGACCACATGATTTAGCCAGCTTGACGCTGCTTCTTGATTCGCTGAACTATGTCAATGCCGCCGTATGACTCGAAAGGCTCATCGTTCCATCGTCTGTGGTATTCACCGTTCCCAATTCCTACAGGAACATAGATCTTACGCAAAACGTTTCTCTCGAAAACTCTTAACGCCGACTCATCGTACATGCCTCCGCACCATATAGCAGGACGAAAACGATAAGGGACTTGTAGAGTTTGGTTTTCGTTCGTCTCGAGACGACTTTACTTTTCAATTGCTTACGCAACCCGAAGTAGCACCTGTGGGCAAGAGTGGTTCTGCGTTGAATTTTCACGCTGACATTGTTGTTGGTGTTGGTGTTGATACTGGTTCCAAGATAGACGAAGTTGTCTACGACGAGTCGCGATTGCGATGACTGTTTGTGTGATGACAGAAGATATTTCGTCTTGCCTACGTTCACTACCGAACCCATACACTTTGCTTCCTTATCCAGTGTGGAGAAAACAAAACTGACGGCGCGGCTCTTAAGGCCAATAATGTCAATATCATCGACGTACGACAGCAGCTGTACACTTTTATAGAAGATCGTACCTTCCCTATTCAGCTCTGCAGCTAAGGCCACACGATAAAGAATCACTCTCTCTGAAACCTCGTTTGGTATCGAACGGCTCGGAAAGGTCCCTCCCGATACTGACGGAGCTTTTGTGTAGATTACTCTATTTTTAAAAATAATGGGTTTTCCAGGAAGCGGTCCTGAACCGAGCTAATCGAATCAGACATACATATATATGTATGTGACTCTTTATCAAGGCAAAATGTGAAGAACTCATATTTCTGTGTGCAGTGAACGAGCGGCCAATATCGTCGAAAAAATCGTATTTCTAATTCGATTTGTTTGACAGCTGAAGCATGGATTGCTCTTTGCCTAGACTAATTTTCGGATATTTTAATAGAGTGGTTGGTTAGTTATAATAAAAGAATCTAGAACCATTTTAGAAGTCACGAGCAACCTCTGATGCATTATACATAAAATTGAAAAGGAAAATTGAACTGAAAAAAAAAATTAAATATTTTTAATTTTATTTACAACAGAAATATGAAACAGAAAATCGTTGCCCGAAAGGTGTTTTAAGTGAGATTAAACGCTTTGAGTTGTTCTTAACAGTTGCTCTGCTCAGCCTATTAGACATTGATCAAACGGAACCTTTTTGACAGTGACACAGGGTACAAAAACCGCGTGAGCTGTCAAAAACAGTGTTGCCAGAAAGAAAGTTTCTAAAAAATCGCTCTTTACATTGTACACATACATACATTCAAATACACGAGCGTAACTAAAATCATACACAGATATAATACATACGTATGTATACAAAAAATACATACATATATTACTCTTCAATCAATAAATCAATAAATTTAAATAAATATATATATAAACTGAAGAAAATAGCTTTATAGATGTTTAAGCCGCCACCAAACAAATTCACAAATTCACAAATACACACACAAAAAACACCTGAGCAGTACGTAATACACAAGTATACAAATTCATATGCACACATATGTATGTAGCACAAAACAAATACTATAATCTACATATACATATACGTGTATTCATGTTGCGAATACTTAGTTTATTGAAAGAAGAGAGAGAAAATCCCTAATCTAAGCAGATTTATTTCCACTTAAATATTAAGAAATAAAAAATATTTAAAAAATAAAATAAAAAAATAAAAATATAGTATTTAATTTCATATATTGCTTAACTAAATTTATTGAATTTATTTTAATTGTAGTAAAAACAATTTCATTGTTTTTTTTTATACATTCATAAATGAGAACCCCCATTACCTACTTAAATGAAGCGGCATAAAGCTGATCACTGAAACCATTAACTTCCGTAGCAAAAAGACACCACAGTGAGACACTAACCACCTT